CCTCCATCTCCTTCAACAATTTCAGCACTTTTAACTGCTTGTGGAGCAATCTTTGGGACGAGGTTGTCAGCATCTAGAACAAGGGCTTTGAACAACCTAGGTGGAGCAATGACAGAGGTGACTCGGTTTCGTATGTGAAGATACCCATGATGATGATGATTTAAGAGCTTAGAAAATGATCAAAGAAAGAATGAAAGTGTGAGCAGGGATGATATTTGATGCTGGAAATGTGAGAACTGGAGGTGCTATTTATAGATTGAGGCTGAAGGTCAGGCTGTGTGAAATCTGAGCTGCCTATCAAAGACCATAGACTTTGAAAATGAAAGTAAAAAGGACTTTAGACAGCACACCAGTTGTGTTGTAGTATTCTGATCATCAAAAAGGCCAATCAGAATGGACTGTGTACGTAGACATGTGTTTTAGAACATTCTATTAGAAAATTAATTAGCACATCAGCTGATTGTAATAAGTTGGAATTTTTAAAATCAACTTGTAGAGATGGCTTTCTTTCACTAAAATATTCACATGGGAAACAACCACTGAAAACTTGTCCAAACAACTTTATATCCATTGGGGTCACTTCACCCTTAACCTATAAATACTCCCTCTGGTGCTCACATTTCCTCACACCAATATCAATCATTCTCTTTTAGCTTCCTCCACATTCATTCTTTCTTTGATCATTTTCTAAGCTCTTAAATCATCATCATCATGGGTATCTTCACATACGAAACCGAGTCACCTCTGTCATTGCTCCACCTAGGTTGTTCAAAGCCCTTGTTCTAGATGCTGACAACCTCGTCCCAAAGATTGCTCCACAAGCAGTTAAAAGTGCTGAAATTGTTGAAGGAGATGGAGGTGTTGGAACCATCAAGAAGACTAGCTTTGGGGAAGGTTTGTTTACTTTCCACCAATATTGTCTCTCTCTACCAATTAACTTGGTTTTCTAGTTAATACATATCGCAAAAGCAGTAGTGTCTTAATTTCTCAAATTTTCAAATCACAGGAAGTGAATACAGCTACGTGAAGCACCGGGTTGACGCGCTTGACAAAGATAACTTTGTGTACAGCTACAGTTTGATTGAAGGAGATGCTCTTTCAGACAAAATTGAGAAAATCTCTTACGAGATTAAGTTGGTGGCATCTGCAGATGGCGGTTCCATTATAAAAAACACCAGCAACTACCACACCAAGGGAGATGTTGAGATCAAGGAAGAGCATGTTAAGGCTGGCAAAGAAAGGGCCCATGCTTTGTTCAAGGTTATCGAGACCTATCTTGTGGCCAACCCTGATGCCTACAACTAAAACCATCAACGATGTATACTACATGTCAAGGGAAATAATCTTGTGGCCTCTCCTTTCTCTGTTTGTTAAACAGTGTGGCTTTCAATTCTTTCTTTTTCTCATACTACAGCAGTCTTTGATAGTTCTTCTTTTTCCAGATTTGGTTTGTGATGTTTCCCTTTTCCCCTGAACACAAGTCATTAATGGAAGTGTCCTTATTCCTCTGTTTATTCAACAATGTTGGCTTTCATTTCTGTTTTTCTTTCTACCAAGCCAGAGCATTCTTTGGTTTGCATTTGAAGTTCTGATTAAAGAGTAGTGTCTTTGTATTTGAATTGTTCCACAATAAATAAAACAAAAAACATCTGATTTATCTTCTTAAACCTATCAATGTCATGTCTCCCTCATTTCTCCAACTTCTGAGGACCTTACATTAAAGACAATAAGTTGTCTACTTTATTTGGGCATCCACTAGTTCCTGATTGTAATGGGATCAGGGGATTAGATTGTCAATCAATATACCCTATGGAGATTTTTTATTTTTTATTTATTCAAGATTTCATTTATTTGAGAACTGTAACAAATACAACATTAATTCACTCTTTAATCAACTAAAGACCTCCAAGCACCATGATTTGGCCAGACACGAGGAAAGAAAACATCATCATTTTGTGATGACTGGAAATGCAAGACTCTTTCTCTCTCCAACATGCTACGTACATTGACATGAAAAGCATTAGTTGCAGGCATCAGGGGTTAGCCAAGAGATGGTTCTCAATGACCTTAAACAGACCTGAGGCTCTTTCTTTGCCTGCCTTAACATGCTCTTCCTTGATCTCTAGATGCATCAGCATCGGATGTATATAAATATAATAGGCTAAACTGGTGAAATACTCCATGAACTTGTACCTAACTTTTAATTTAACCTCCATCCTTTTTGTAAGAAAATTAAGTATATGAAATTTTTTTTTTCACTAATGACCCCATGCCATCTAAATCCTCAACATTTCATCTAATTTTCCATTAACTATAAGGGCAAATTGGTCATTTCGTATGTTAAATATAAATAAATACTGAAAAATCAAATTAAAAACTTTTAAAAATTGAAATACTCTCTCTCTCACTCTCTCTCTCTCTCTCTCTCTCTGTGCAGGTTGC